GAAGCTCATCAACTGTATAGGTTCCATTCCTTCAAGGGCTGCTGCTCCATTATATATACATTAGATGCCACTCTTGGACTCTGAGCAAAATGTCCAAGTTGTTTTGTGAAAGTGTGATTAGATTTTGATTTTCATAACTGGAAATACTCTGTAGTCGCCTTATGAAGTATAATAGCTTCATAATGAGCTTGACTTTGATTTCACCTGCTGCAGAGGAAAGCCCTACATTCTACAAAAGAGGGGATGCTAGGAATACTTGTGATGCTAAGTATGATTTCCAGAGTAACTGACCCTGTTAAGTAAAAACTATGCCAAACTATAGCAGTACAAACACTTGGGTTCTGGTGCTGTGGTTATACAAAGTTAGCGTGACGTTATCTGGTTGTCTGAGAGCAGCTCTAGGGGTGGTGTTGGGGAACATAATGGAAAGAAAGACTCCAGGAGACAAGTTAATGTAGGTCTTTCTGATCATTTGGTGGTTCGCTTGAACAGCACGGAGATTTGTGTTTCTTCTTTCCATTTTAATTTAATAAAAACATGACTATATCAAATTAGTTAAATGCTGCTAAAGGGGGAACTTTTCTTGCCCTATCCCTTGACCAAAATTTAGAGTTTTAGTAATTCCTTCTGGGGAGTTACTCAGGTTTATGAATAATTCTAAAACTATACACTTTTTTGGCCATTTAACAAACTGAATCAGATTTTCAGAGGATCATATGAATGCAGAACTAGGTGAAGGAGGAGGTAAGACAGTAAGCAAGGACAACTAAGGATTGTCTATCCTTGAGCTGTTTCATAGAAGAGGCACGTAGTTTTGTGAATGGATTAGCAATAAATCTTGAATCTTGAAATGCGTTATATGTTCATTTGCTGTATGTGTAGGCAACAGATTATGGTTATGTTTTATCATCAAATTTGCTCATAAGGTAATGAGTGAAATCAAACTTGGCTTTGACACCAAGATTTTAATTTATTCATGAGATGCAGTATGTGGCACTTACGTTGATATAATGTTGAAATAATAGAAATACAATTAGTAGAACAAGGTATTTCAAGCTTGTTATGGTATACAATAAAATATATACACAATGATTATGTAAACACTTATAAAAGGATGTTTGAGCTTTTGCTTTTGAGAGTTTTCTCAAGTGGTTACTTGGAGATAAAAAATCAGCAAAGGAATGGGCATTTTTGTAGGAGTTTTGTTTGCCAACTGTTTTTAATTTAGTACCAAGTACTGATGTCAGAAGATCATTAATCTCTGATATGATTCCTGAATATCCTGGCTGCGGTTTCACTAACAGGAAATTTTATAATGTAGGTGATTTCATTGATTTCAAGTACTCAAAAGTTATACATATCACAGAACGTTTTTATATATTTATAATACTTTGATGTTGCACAAAGAACATGAAGACACGCTCCTCCACAAAGGGAGGGAGAAAGCAGGGAGAGAAAGTAGGTCCTGAGTCTCTTTTGAAAAGCTGTTGATGCTTTGGATCTCTCTCTGTAGTTCTACAGCTTCCGTGAAGGAGAACAGAAAGTTTAATGAGGCTGGGAGTCAGCTGAGATAGTGCATAAAACTGGGAGGGGGAGGGTAGGGTTTTGGTTTGTTAACTGTTTTATATTTGGGGAGAGAGGGGATGTTGTTGATTTTGCCTTCTGAGGGGGAGGGTTGCTGGTTGGGGTTTTTTTGTTGGGTTTTTTTTCTTGTTTGGTGTTTCCCCCCCACCTCCTGTAGCAACTACATTGTGAACAGGATTCTGCCTTCCTAACAACCTTTGGAACGTTTTGTGGATTGCCAGAGCATGTTTCTCATCCCAGTTTTGATAGCAGTGTTCTTCAGGATATCAAGGAACTGATGAGTAATCATGACAAAAAGAACAACGTAACTAATTAAGCCTAGTTTTCAATGTATTTGTGTCTTTGACCTATCTGTGTTGGCACTGCAACATCCTGGTGCCTCCCAACCTCCAATTTTCACAAAATCTGTAGGCATATAATTGTCTCAGATGTCTGTCAAATTTGGGTTAGTTCAGTAAGTGAGAGAACAGCGCTATTCCCCTAAGAAAACAAGTTAAAATACTAGCTAAAAAATTGGGTTTTTTTCTAGACTTATTTATATTTGACCTCATTTATTATAAGGAATTCCTATTTTTTGTCAGAGAATTCTAGAATAAAAATGTGTTAATGCAATGGACTCTAGTTCATATTAGTTTTAAATGTGAGATTGGATTTTTGTCTTTAAATGTACAGGTACAGTGTGATGTACATCTCTGAAGAAATGGTAATCTCAAACATGTAAGGATGTTAATGTGTTCAAATAAGGTTAAGCCTGGACTTAAAATGTAAAAAAATAGAAATTTATTTCACTCCACCTTCGTCACCCTTCTGCATTTATGAATTGTAACATATTTAATCACATGAGTAAACACAAGAAAACTCAGATTTCTAAAATCTAGAAGCTGTTATGTCAGTAGCATAATTAACTTAAAAACCTGTTGTTCGTGATTAAGTTGGCTTGCAAAGTGGTAATATTAAATAATTGTTAAGCTTTCTTATTAATTATTTTGTGTATCAAGGCTGTTGTAGTTCATTTTTAGGCTAGAAATTGAGATAATTCCCTCCAGACTGATCCTGTTCTGCTTATTTCCTGTGAAACAAGTGTGCATGCCATCACGGAATGGGGAACAACAAAATTATTCTGAATTTTCCTTTTTTCCCTCTCTCTCCCTTTAAGTTAAAAGGGTTAAATTAAAAAAAAAAAAAAGTTTTGTCCTAAATGTTCTTACTGAAACCCATTATGCATGAAAAGACTCTGAGTCCATTTGCAAGACCTCTAAATGAACTCCATTCATTCAGTGCTTAGAAATGTCCATTCAGCCAGAAACAGACACAATAGTTACAACCTCATTTATTTGGCACCAATACCAGCTTATTAAAAGTGAATGGATTGTTATGAAAAAGTATAGTAATTTTTCTATGCTAGTTATATAATTCTTTAATAAAATTCCCTTAGGATCTGAATAATATAATAATTGCATATATATTCTTTGCCTGTAGTTGCAATGTGGTAGCATTGCATTCATCTAAAGTACTTAAACATTCATGGAGATTTTGAAAGAGTGATTTTGAAAATATGAGTTGATCTAGCTTGACTTAAAAAGTTATAGGGTCATCTCTTTCTAGATGACTCAAAAAGTAAGCCAGTTATTAATCATAACTAATGATTATGAATATGGAGAAAACAAGTTTTAAAGTTTTGTCTTTTCACAGAATCATGGAATTGTCAGTGTTGGAAGGGACCTCTAGACATCATCTAGTCCAACTCCCCATTAAAACTTTGTTTACAATTGGAAAGTAAAGTACTTGTGATGTTCATTTCAACACTGTAGGAATTTAGTATTATAATTTAATCATTCTAAAATCCATGAAGATAAATCAAGAATTTAGTACTCCACGTTTTATAAACATAAAGTGGGTATTGTCCCATTGTGATTAGCAGAATGTCATGATCCTCGGGGGTACATGTGGGATACCAGACCATACTATTATCTTAAGTGATTTGAAGTGTTGAGCAAGATTACAGAGGTATCACTGGCTTTTCTTCTAAGATCAGGAATGAACAAAAATGATGAGCATTTAGAAGAACCTGGCTTGCCTTACATGCAAGTAGGACTTTCTTAAGTCCTTGTTCTTGCATACGTTGTAAGTTACAGCATGTGTGAGAGAGTCACGCAGGCTCCCACGGGCCTTCTCTCCAGTTCAGGTGTGGGAGGTTTGCAGTGTGAGTCTAAGGTAACTCCACGTGTTTTCATTTGTTCCCTATTTCTGACAGTCTGACTAGCCATATATGTTTGTTGATATCATAACATGCAGGTAGTGTTTGATGTAGAAATAAGTATTAGGTTTGAAGGGAAAGGGGAAGTTAACAATAGGTACAAATTATATTATTCTTCTTTGACCTGGAATTATTTATTTCTTTAGATTCAGTGGTGGCTGAAGACCCTGTTGCTGTTGCAACTGCACAGGGCCCTTCTGAAGTTAGTGGCCTAGCCATTTGCATGCCAACTATTGTTTATAGCCCTAGGGCCTTTCATCATCATCTTAGAAGGTGGCTTTGGTAGCTGGCTGGAACTGACTGAGCGTTTCCTCCAACAAACTGTAGAAAATACTGTTTGTGAGAAGTGTTTGAGTTGAGGGTGAATGGGTGAGGGGCTCACGGCAGGAAAAACAAGTAACAGGAAAGGGTAAGTGGAAACATCATCCTCCTTGCTCTCAACCAGTTCTTTATCTGACAGTCCTCCTGCTGGTTGCTTTTCCTGCCGAGTCTCCTCCTCCTTCCGTCCCCTTGACATGTAAAATACACATCCAGTGAATACCTACACAATAAGACTTACAGGACTTTGTTACTGAAACTCCCTGTATGCCCTTTCTGTAACTCTTGTGTAGGATTCCATTGTTTTGGTTACTGCTGAACTTGACATTATGTGAATTGCACCTGTGGTATGGCCCGGTCTGGGGTTGCACAATGTAATAATAACTTGAAGCTACCAGGAGTTCAACAGAGTAAAGGCTCCAGGATATGCTTTCTGCAAAGTAAATAGCTTTTTAAGTTATATTTTATTTCTTATTTTAATCTGTAAATGTTGTGCTTCTATATGAAAATTGAGTTCCATATACTAATTTTCCATAAAATATGTATTTTCTCTCTGATATTCTTCAGCCTGACTTCTGAAATCACTTCTCTACAGTTAGGTGCTGTTAATGCTTGATTTTGATGGAGTTATCTCTGATCAGTGTTAATATTCTAGCACTTGATGTATTTTCCCAACCTAGAGATCTGTTAGTTCCCATTTCTTTGTTATTAGGAAATGAAAATGGAATAAGAAAGGTCTGTGACAATATACAAAAAATGGAAAGCCAAAGTTAAAAAGAATGATAAAACATGTCCCTCATAATTCACCGCTGACAATTCACTTGTGATTTTATTTACTTAGGTACTTCCCACCAAGGTGGGTATTCCCATGATGCTGTGGTCCATGCATTGCAAAAATGTGGCATTCGTCATATTGACACAGCAAAGAGATATGGCTGTGAATCCCTCCTCCAAAAGGCCATCGAAGAGAGTGGTGTGAAGCGAGAGGAACTCTGGATAACTACCAAGCTGTGGCATAGTGATTATGGCTATGAAAACACAAAAAAAGCCTGCTTGGAGTCATGCGAAAGACTTGGTGTTGAATATCTTGGTATGTATCTTTACATATAGCTCATTTATTGTGCCTTCCATATGAGTATTTGCGAAGATGAATAAATGCCTGAAAAAAACAATGTAGTACAGATAGATCACAGAAACCAGTTTCTGCCTTTATGCATTTGCAGATTTCTTGTTCTGCTTGTTCTCTGGGAAGCTCACATGCATACAGTTGAGAGCAGAGACTTTGTTCTTGTTGCAAATGTTTTAAAACTGATGAAGGTATGTTTTGTAAAGGTACATTTAGTTTTTAAGTTGATTTGATGAAGCACTACACGAGTTCTATATATTTTTCTAAAAAACCCTGAAACGTATGAAAAAAGAATTCATAAACTTTGCAATAATGCATTGGTAACGGGATGACAAAACCACCTGATTTCTTCTTTGGTCTGTTAAATCTCAAATGGGAGTCTCTTCTAAAAGTTATTTTGTAGGTCTGTTAACTATTTAAAATTTTGAATAACTGCCATTGGTTTGGTCTGTTTGATGCAATATACTTTGGTGAAAATGTCAGAAGTATATACCAGACTTTAGAAGACTAAATCTAACTAACACTGAATTAGACTTTTGCACCTTTAAACTCATCCTGATCATAAACTTCTTGTAGTCAAAGATGTGATATTGTTTCTTCCTTATTGGACAGACAAAGAGCTGCAATAATGACACCAATTAATTCTTTGCAACAGATCATAGAGGAGGAGATAACTACTAAAAATAAATATGATATTTTAAAAAATGTTTTTGCTGCTTCTTTGCTAGGAGAAGTGATGTCTTTGCTTCTCCTAGCTGGAGCAATGAAAAGAAAGTGGAGGAAGATGAATTTAAAGTAATAATCTAAAATAATGATGCTGGTGGAGATAGTGTTTATGTTGATAATCAAGGAATAAATGACCAAACTATAAGACATTATCTATCAGCGTCCTGAAAACCCTCATTTTGCTTCTCTTTACTCACACTGTCCCCGTTAAAAACTTTAATAATGAAGTGAACGGCTTTTGTGAAGTACAGATTTTGCAGAATTAATGGCACATAATATAATGGCAGCTGTGTGCTGTATGTACTGGCTTTTTCACTTGGGTACTTTGCAGTGAAGGGGAAAAGAAACCTGTATCTGTTAAAGTTTGAGATATTTGTATGCACGTTTTTGGCTCCATTCTTTCTGGAAATGTATCTCTTAACTTCCTGCACAGGTACAGAATAATGCAAAAGAAATTAAAATCTCCTTTTGTCTGTCCCTGCAAATACAGGTCCCTGAGGAGACTTTCATAAACAATGTTTCAAGCCCTGACTTTCTCCTCTAAATTAAGAAATAACATGTTTCCTCCTCTCTGCTTTCTGCTTGTTATGTTTTGTGTTTGCTTTCTTTTTTCTTCTGCTTGCTGTGGCACTGGTGCTGAATGTCGATGAGAGGAAAACTTGACTCACTTCCAGGAAATCATTTTTAGTGATTCCTTTTAGTAGTGCAATTTGCTTTTCTTTTCTCAGTTAGCAGACTGATTAAAGTAGGTGCTCACACAAATACTCAGTTTACATATTGCTGCTAATCAGAAATATATGAAAAAAATGGAAGAAATATCTGAGGACAAGAAATACACAATACTGTCACCACGTGAGTGAATCCTTGGCCTGGCATAAACAAATTCAGTTCATCAGATATATTAAGCTCCGACACTTCTTTTGCTCATATTACTAAGAAAACTAAGGAGTATTACAACTGCCTGTACAACTGCCTGTGCAATTTCCTTCCATACCAGATTTGTTTTCCTTTTGTTTTGTTTTATACCCTCACCCGTCTTCCTTCCTTTCTCACTTTTCTTCCACTGATGTGGAGATGTCTGAAAAATTTATAAAGCTCTTCCTGAACCACCACTTAGTCTGACACAGTGACCTAAATCAATGCTGGCTTCAGCTTGCTTTAACTTAACAATTTGTAAACTCTAATGGCTTAGGAAATACATCACATGCAATTCACTGATCTGTCAATGAGGATGGGTGACCTCTGTGAGAAGGATGGGATGGCAAGTGGAGTAATGGCTTTGGCTTCTTGAGTTTAATCTCAACTGTTGGACCAACTCCACGGACCACCTTTGTTTAACACAGCGTGATCTGCACTCATGTCATAAGGCTGAGTTCTATCTTTAGTGCTATATACACTGGTGAAGTAGACCCTTGGAAGAGGTACAATATATGGTGTGTTTCATGGGGTTCATGGGGCTCCCTAAAGCACGATGCTTTCTATATCTCCTGTCTGAAAGCACCCAGCTGGAAGGTGCTATTGGAAGGATTTTTATGCAAAAAAAAAAAAAAAAGCCACAGTAGGTAACATTTTGTGTTCATGATGAAAGGACTGTGCAGGCACAAGGAGAGTCGGGCTGGATAAGCCTGAATCTTTAGGTCTAACTCACTTTTGAGTATGATCATGAAAGAGGTTCTCCTGAGCCACTTTGGGGAATTTGTTTTAGATTTGCAGGGCTGGACCAGTTGCAGTAGAGACTCTGCAGTGCTCCTTGGGATATAAATATTGCTGGGGAGTTGTATCATTGGGATATAAATATTGCTGGGGAGAAATGTACTTTTCAAGAATGGTTAGAGTAAGAGCTTTTGGTTGGAAGTTTTGAGGGTTATCGCAAGTCTAACAAAAGTAACTGGAATGCAGAAGATTAGTTTGAAAATATGCTTATAAGCTTGTAGAACTAAGTTTAGATATCCTAGCTCTGTTTACATTCATACCTGCATTTTATGTCCCTTTTCTGCTGGCCAGTGTATCCTATAGAGAGGACATGAAATCCATGACAGGAAAAGATCTGGTAATAACAGGGCAATTTTTGTCTAAACTTATTTAGGAAAGTAAATTCTTCAGTTACAAGCATGTGATAAAGCTGGCAGTTTTGTTGTGAAATAGGAAAGTGAAATAAAGGTATGTGAAATGTACCTAAATCAGAATTTCCTGATTTCATTTTATATTAACCAAATATGTGGTGGTTCACAATATTTCCATGAACAATACATGGTTCATATAGAAAATTGAAAGTTCCTAAATAATACATGTGTGAAGTTAGACCTTTATGTTAGAGGGAAAGTTGGTCATTCAGAGGACTGCAAAAAGAAAAAGCTGTAGGAGCCCTGGCAGCTAAATGTGCAGCTAAGCTCTTTGCTCAAAGGAGGGTCCTCTTAATTTTCTTGAGGATCTTTATGGGTTACCCAGTCCATCCACTCAGACTGAATTAGAGACTTGGGAAATAATCTAACGGGAATTGATAAATCTGTGCATTAGCAGTCTGTAGAATCCCAGCTGTTGAAATGGATGAACTGCTGAAAGCAGTCTTAGCTTTTTAAGAAAAAAAAGTGTTCTATGTAAAATACTGTTATGAAACCTTTTTGGTAAACACTATTTTCTGCAAATGATACTAGGAGAGCAATGTTCCATGATTTTTATTTGAATCAGTAGATTATATATCCATGAGAAGCTGGAAACATATATTATTTGTGGGAAGTGGTTGTAACAGATATTTTGCTCCTTGCATTTTCTAAATGTGGTCCTCAACTAGCAGTCACAGTAAACCAATATGAAATGGCAGCAAATCTTACAGGTTTGGCAGTAGCAGAATACGTTCCTTGGGATTTGGATCAAACCTCCAAAGTAACTGCTTCTTGAATGTGATTTGTGGGTTAGCGAATTCATAAACAATCTTATTTTCCTTCTGACTGTTCTGGCGTGTCACGTTCAGGCAAATATAACCTATTGCAAATTCCCAGCTTGAGTTGGACAAATGTTCAAGCAGCATATTCAGTATAAGATGGATCCCATGAATGATGATAATACACCCAGTTCAGATTGTGTATGAATTCAGAACACTTTGGAGATTACTTCACATTGATCCTTGTTCCAATAGAATAAAAAAAAGAAACAAAAACAAAAAAAGACTGTACAGGGGAGAAAAAGAAATAATGTTGATACTAAGTACAGTAACAATTCAGAAAAGCAGGGAAAATACAATCATTGAAAAAATATACTTTTCTTTTAGGTTTGTTATGAGCCAGGGCCTGCTCTTCAAAACTAGGTTTGTTATAGTGAGTTTTTACCTTTTCTTAATATTCTATTAGGAATTTGAATAGAACTGCAAACTTTTATTTCCATGACAACATGCTGTTGGCTTTTAAATGTGTAAAATGTCCCTACACTTTTGAGTTAAGAGGAACTGTGTTGATTGTAGGTGCTGCAACCATTAAGATGTAAGAAGCCACTCTATTTTAAGCGTTTGCATGAAAGCTGTTTACATGTTAATTTTAGTTTTCCTGCAGCACTGTGTTTTGAACATTAAAATGAACTTCAGGCCCTCACTTACTACTGCTACACTAGGATGCTATAAAAAACTGGTGAATATAAGATTTGATTGCAAATGTTTGGGATTTTTTTTTCTTCTTTTTCAAGTGCATACTGATACTGTGAATCACAGGTTGTTTTTTTATTTTGTTAAGAATCCATTAAAAAATACATGGTTGGAAGTAATCTCAAAGTATTTGTTAATCTATCCCACACTACAAGGCACAACCACGTCATTCTCAACAGGTGAAAACATAGTCTGTTCTTAAAAACCTTCAGTTAGTGACAAAGTGACACATTTCTTGATTAATGGAACCCTCAGCTATTTTGATAGATAACTTAAAACTATTTTCTTGCCTCCAAAATGAAAAGAAGGGTGTTTGTGTTCATGTAATTCCACAGGAGGGGAAGTATTTTAAGCAAAAGAAAGTGTGTAGGTGTGAATGTGTGTACGAATGAAAATGAAATCGTAGAAACTGGTTTATGAGGTGCTTACTGTTTTATTGACCCACAGGTATTATGGAAAATTTTTGAACAGATGCAGTAAAAGTAAGCAGATCCTCATTTTAAATGAACTATGCTTAGCTTATTTAAATAGAGTGGCAGTTGCATTGCTCATCGCAAGGTACACTGTATTCCTTCCACTTCGAGCTGTGCTGGGGTGGTTTGTGCATGACTGGCAGAAAGACCATTCTGCTCTTTATCTCTGAGATAAGGTACCTTTGCCCCACATCTTTCCTAAATGCTTCTTGCAATAAGAAGCACTGCACTTTGTGATCCAATAGATGTTTTCTAGCTTTAAATGTGTATATTTATAACTGTGAAGTAATTTTTATTTCAATAAAAAGCCTAAATTAAAATAAAGGTAGTAGGATAATATGGACATCGTGTACCCAATAACATCATCTTTCTAAAATAAAGAACCAACAGCTCAACATGTTTGCATTGAAGAGGTCTCAGACACTAATGCAGGGAAGGGTGATGTGCTTCATTTTTTTAAATATCCAAGGCCAGAGATCTTTCCGTTATCAAATCTGTTAACAGTAATTCTTCTGAGAGTGCTTCAATTTCTTGGCCTGAATACAAAGCATCTTTGTATGTGGAAATCCATGGTGTAGCTATTTCTGTGAACATTTGCAAACTGTGATGAATATTCAGGCTTTTGGTAAAGTCGCTTTTGGTGAAATCCTGCTGAAGTTAATGATTATATTTTGCTGGCACTATATGACATGTTTCTACATAGTTAAGCTGTTCTTATTAGTCTTATTTGGAGAACATAATAAGCAGCAATTAAAGATACTCGACTTTTTCCATTTTTGTGAGGTAAACTTACATGTACTTATATATGACATTTGCTTTATCCAAGCAAAAAAATTTAAATTAAAACATGTCAGTCTCTATGCAGTAAGTACTGCTAATAGCGTATATAATTTTGGATCAAAATGAGCACTTGATACTAGCAATTCCTCACGCTAATCCTTGGGATTGCAACTAATATAAGTCAGTGGCAATTTTAAAAGAGACTTTATTGGCAACAGAATTAGAATAGTATTGAGTTTTGAACATAACCTTACTAAATGCTTTAATCACTATCCCAATATTAGTTTTCACTTAAATGTCACAGAAATTGATATTTACTCCGGTGTCTTATCTTGGTATTTATTCTTAATAAATAATATAATTAATAAATATTCTTAATAAATACTTCCTTATTCAGAGCAACTAGAGAAGAAATAATTATTTACAGATCAGTGATGAACAAGACTGCATGTGTGGTTTTTTCTACATTGGGACTGGATTTTATATAAGGGCAAAGAATTGGCAACTTTCTCTTTAAATGTGATAAAAGATGCTGCAATTCATTATACATGTGACATTTTCTTGTCTAAGCAATTGTGTTTAAGTCTAGTGTGTTCTTGATAACAGAAAGTGCAAATTTAGCTCATGATTTTTGTGATACACTGAAAATTTTTTTTCTTTGATAAGTCTGTAATGTATCTTACTGTACAAAATTCTGTACTGTTGTAATTAAAGCAAAATACTCTCTTTAACAGTGTTGCAATGAGGTACCCAAATAGGAACTGGTGTATTATAGTGAATTTGATGTTGCCTTTTCCTCTTAGATTGAGGTTGCATTTGTATTTAAAGAGGGGGAAAGCTAATATACCAGCCCAGTGAAGTAATTGTTAGTTCTGTCTTTAAATGTGAATTAAAAAAAAAAAATCATGGTAGAGGGTCTATGTTTTCCAAAAGAGGTGCTATAAATGAATGGGGTGATGCATTCAAAGAACGAAAAACTCTGCTCATTGCAAACAAGCCTGTTTTTTCATTTCTTAACTCTATATTTGAACTACCAATAAAAGAATATTATAAAGCACAAAGACAATGATGCACATCTCATTCATGCATTTATTTCCTTTTCCTGTTTTGTGTCAGAGTAATGTACATGGCAAAGAGCAACACCTCTTTGGAATGCCTACAGCTACCTGTTTCATTTGCAGTTAGAATTTAAATAGAAATGTAATTGTTTTCAAAGTATCTCCTAAGTTTCTCCTTCAGAATGTCTTAGCAGCATCTACAAACTTAAAATGAGTTATAGATCCTATCATTTTTTAAATTTAGGTAATCTGGATAATTTCATCAGCACTAAATCTTGTGCTTGAAATTGTGCTGACGCTTTATAAATTTAGTAAAGCACAACTTTGTTCCCTTAATATAATATTTTTAAATGCTTTTAAAAAATCACAAATGCTGCCACAAAATTATAGCAAAAAAACAACTAACCAACCAAACAAACCAAAACCACCTGCATGAAAGAATGTAATGTAATTTTCAACAGAAATCTGTAAATCAAGGTATTCTTTAGAAAGGAAAAAAAAAAAGAGACCCACTGCTGAGGTTGTATAAAATATCTGTAGAACTGCCAACATACTTATCTTCAATAAACTTGAAGACTTGTAGCACTTCAGCAGTAGTCCAGTCTTAATTCCAGGACCAAAATCCCTTTGATTCAAGGGGGGCTTGTTAAGTGCTGAAAGTTTAAGTGCATATGTGACCATGAAATTCTGATTACAGTGACCTAAACCTGTATGCTACCTTTAGATGTTAATGAAATGTATGCTACCTTTAGATGTTAATGAAATGTTGTAGATTTCATTTATTAAAAGTAAATGGATGTATACAGTAATGATCATGGAGTAGTAATTGTAACTATTTTTATGATAATATGTTAGGGGACATTATGGAGGGAAAATGCTATTTCATGTGGTTTAAGATATATGTATCTCTCTCTCTCTCTCTCTCTATATATATATATGTATATAGGACACTTCAGTGAGTAGTCTGGTTCTATTTCTTTTTTAGATCTTTATTTAATACACTGGCCTGATGCACATGTTCCAGGTAAAAGCAATCGAGAAGTTCGAGCTGAAACCTGGAGAGCGATGGAGGAGCTCTATGAGAGAGGTAATATAATAATGAAAACCTATCTTGGCAGAAGGAATTATAGTGAATTTTGGGATTTGGAGAATTCATAGTGAGAGATGTTCAAAAACTTATTTGGAACTCGATGCTCATATTTCAGTGGGATTTTGGTGAGTTACATGAATCTCTTTGGAAATTGCAGCATTAGCATTTTGGTAAGTTAAATGAGGGAGCTCTGTGTTGCTTGTAAATAAAAAACTGCCAAATTCTGCCTGTGAGATTAATGATGGTGTGCTTGAGGAAATCTACAGATTACATTGGAATGTATATACCACTATAGAACAACTTTGTAGTACCCTTCTCTATTTTCAGTATAAATCATGCTAAGTGTTACTTCCTTTAGATTTTTTTTTTTTAAATTGTATGATGCCATTTTCCGATTTATCATATATTGTGGTACTTTGTAGATCCATTTGTGTTTTAGAAAGGGTCAACAAAACAAAATGAAGATGACAAACAAAATACTTAACTGCAGATTCTTGGATACTAACTTCCGGGGGAAAGAAAAAAAAACAAACAAGGGAGGGAGCTCTTCTCTCAAGTTCTGCCAACTGTCAATTTGATTTTGGATGCACTGCAAACTTCAGTTTACATTCATAGCAATAGGAAGAGAAGACTGCCTCAATCAAAATTTATCATGTAAATTTCAGAGGAGGGTTTTGGTCCTGAAGCATGGAGTATTATCAGAAATAGTGAAGATTCTGTTGTGCAGTTCTTGGACAACGTGGATCTCCCTGTTTACAGCATCAGAGAAGTTCCACAGACAGGGGAAGATTTACTGGATTGAGTAGTCCGTCTGCAAACCCAGAGTTACTGAAGTAGTGATTGTAGCCGGAGAGTTGTACAAAGGCAATTACAGCCTGTGTGCCACTATCAGATTTATCAGAGCAATAAATAAAGCTGTTCTCTTACACTTCAGCCCTTCAGTTACTTTTGGTCTTCCTCTGGAAACACAGAAGTAAACTATCTTTGATACATCTTTTGTTCTTGCTTTTTATATTAAGCACAAGGGAAGTTGCAAAAAGTGTTTTCTGCCATGAAAGGGATTGGAACATTTAGTTTTTAAAGAAACACTACACTGACCTAATGTTTCAAATCGTCAATCACTTTTAAGTCCAAAGATGGCTTATTTGACAAGGTACTTCATCTTTCCACAGAGAAGTTGTTTTTCTAATGAGTATTTAAGTTAGTGCATGTTATTTGTGCCTAGATATGCCATCCTAATTCACTGCAAACAGCTTGTATTTTCACCTTCTATTATTATTCCTATGCTATTAACTTTTTTTATGCTTTTGCATGTATGTTTGTGATCTTTCCTGTTTTACACAACTCTTTCTTTCTCTCTCTAATAGGAAAAACTGAGCTATTCAGTGGTCTTCCAGTAAGACACTAGAAATACCATTGCTGGCCTCATAGTCAGAGGAAAGATTACTTTTATTTTTTGCTCCTATCCGTGTTACCTCTTTAAAGACATCCCACATTATAATTATTTTTCTTGCAGTTGCATTTCTTCAACAGTTTTGTCAATTTGCATGTTGCTCCTCCTTCTGAATTTAAGCATTCTGTAGGCTCAGGATTCATTTAGCTGAGCTTAAGTTTTGCAGCTCTGCTTGTCTAAATTACCTCAGTTAGATCATCTACAGGGGAAGGAAAATTTATTAGACTGGTTGAATCAAGTGCCTTCAACATTAGCCTCCACATTCTTGCTTTATGGGATACAGACTTTGGATGTCCTGATCGTAACCATGTGTTACTGAAATGATACGCAAATGTTAGCCACTCTGGAGATGGAAATGCAGTGATTCCCGAAGAAAACATTAAATAATTTGTTTGCATGGTTAACCACTAGCCTTTCCACTGAAGATTAAACTCTTGCTGCATATCTTTGTGAGTTGCGATGTGTTATGTGAGCAACATGTTAGCTTTGGTATGAATTGAATATAGGATTTGGTCAAAATTCTTACTTGAGGAAGAAGAATAATCTTCATTTATTGGGGGAGTGGGGGAGGAATTGTAAGTTCTATACTAAACAGGCAAGTTCTTTGTCTTCTCAGAACTTGTTATTGGCTCAGGTAGTCATCGGTTCCTCTTTTCAATCCTGTTACTTTCTTTTTTGCTTTGTAGGAAATGGTTATTCTTGGGAAAAAAAATAGTAAAAACTAACAGCTTCACATTTAAGGATTGACCATCTACATGAATAATATGCTTCTGCAGTCAATTCCCAAAGGAAATATTGAAATTATATAACTTGCTAGTGGTTTTAGCAACTGTGTCCACACTGAAGAATTTCAGAAAGTGCACTGACAATAATGGCAGTTTTTTGTGGAAAAAATGGTTTTCTGTTATGGGACTGATAGTGCGTATCTATCTGCAAGAGACTTATGAGGTGGTTAAAATACCTCAATATTACCTAAGTCTTCGGTCTGGTTGAAGTTAATAAGATTTTCTTTAATCATTTCTCTGTATTCACAGAATGTTTGAGTGCAGATATTTGAAAATCTCATCAATCTCTTTTAACTTCAACTGAAATCCAGCTTAATATTCATTCTGCAAATTTCTACTTACCTGGGGCAAACAACATTTTAAAAGAATGCAAATTGTTAGTAGTCTTTATTGTTGTTATTATTGATTGCCCTAGGAGGAGGGTAAATAAGCTATTAGTACCCAAGACTTTAAAAATCTTTAATGCAGATTTTTTTTAAGATTGTGTTAAGTTTTAGATTGGTCACAATGATCACAAGTTGACACAAGAAAAATCGCAACTGCATCTACATTCATAGCTTGGAGATAATTTATTTTTGAGGTTGTGCCTACAAAGATAGATTCAACCAGGTTCATCTGAGAGCCAGCATATAGCGGCTGAGACACGGGGTTGCAGTAGCACAACTTGCCGGGCTTCTCTGCCTGAAGTATCTTCTCACCCAGCTAACTGAGGAGAGAGGGGTTGTGGGTCTGTGCCCCTGTCCAGGTCAGTATGTGCTAATTTGTAAAACTCTGCCCCCAGGTAATAAGCACTCTGTGTTACAGGTTAAAAAAAAAAAAAAAAAAAATCTAAATAATTTGTCAAAAATTTTTAAATAAATATTTTAGGGATCAGAAAACTTATATTAAAAAGTTAAACAAATTTCTTCAGATTATAGTGAGTCCAATTTTAGTAAACTCCCAAGTGCCTCTGGCTACAGAAGAAATAGCAGGTTTATTGTTATTTGAATGTAGCTTGTGCCAATGAAATTGGTGTGTAAACTGGTAGATGTGCATTCACTAAGATGTGTGGGCATCTTTAAGTTTACTGTTGCTTAGAATCTTTGACTGCTTAGTAGTGCTTCCTCTTTATGAAGGTTTGGAGTTGCGCTGTAACATCAGAATATTCTCAGAAATAGAAAATAATAGATTCAGCTGACGAGAGAGATCCTTTGCTATCACTGAAACATCCCCTTTGTGGCTTACCACTATACTGTTTTTGTATTTTGTCAAAAGGAATTTGAGGTTAACATTTTTCAAAAGAATCTCTTGTCCTAATACAATTTAAACTGGAAACACAAATAATTTAAAGCAAGAATCTTAACAGTATTTGTTAAAGATCTGGATACTCTCTCCAGTTGACTACTTACCATTCTGAAGTTTTGGGCTGCACTCCTCAAATCCAGTGGGCTCTCTATATTTGGAAACTAAATAGAATCTGGTTACTGCCCCAAGGCTGGGGTCTCAGGAACATGCTTGAGAGAAGGTTTCATATTTTAGCGTTCTTACCCTTGTGGTTGAATTCACTGTTCAACTGCTTAATGCAACTGAGCAGCTATCTCAAGATCTCCCTTCATGTTAAAAACAATTTCCCAGAATCCTGGGCATTTTTCTTGAGATTTTTCATTACGGAGACCATGGCAGATATGAGAGCATACCCAAAAACAATCGTAGGGATTCTGAAGCCACTGTTGCCCATTACTGTAACAGTATGACACAACACATTTATTATCTATGTTAAAATCACACACCCCAAGAGTTTTACCCACTTCAGGTGTTCTAATCCCTTTGGTTGTGTCTGGAACACGGCCCTGTGTCTTTCTGGTTTGCTTCAGAGTCTTTGGCTAAACATGGTTGTCTTTTATTTGCTCCTAGCTAAATCCTTCAATATGTGTCTTGGAGTCCATTAAAAGTCCTACCAGGATTTTTCCCTCTTTAAACTGGAATTTGTATATTTTTATCCTCTGTCTTTTCTTCCCTACAAACAAGGCAAGATTATACTTTTAGTTTGCTTTTTTAGTATTCCTTAGTTGTATAGCCAGAACCCAGTCATTAAATTTGCTGGTTTCCCTCAATATCTTTCCAGAGAAAAATACTTACGGTCTTGGTCAACAAAGGTAGCTACAAATTTACAGTATACAAATGTATAGCAATTGTATCATTCCAAAACATGAATTAACATGAAGATAAAGGCACTACCTGGACAAGTTCCTGTGCAACATGCTGTAGGTAGACCTGCTCCGGCGGGGGGATTGGACTAGATGATCTGCAGAGGTCCCTTCCAACCCCATATGATTCTATGATTCTACCTGCACTAAAAACTCACACTTAAAAATACTGGGTGATTTCTGATAGACCAAGCTGATAGCTCTTTATTCATAGCAGAAAAGATCTTATTGTTAAACTGATTGTCCTTTACTAGCTGAGGACAACCTTAAAGTTTCAAGAATTAGCTTCTTTAAATGCTGTATTGCCTAAGAATGTAGCATTTCTTTTTTTGTTTTTTCTTTTTCTTTCTTTTCTTCATTTTTGTTATTTTTTGTGACTTGTTAATCTGCTCCAGTTTGATCGGGGCCGTTTCACAGGAGTCGAGTGACTGAATAAGTGCATCTGTCTTAAGGTTGCAGTCAGAGTAAAGAAGTCTCTATCTGCACTGCAGTGCTGAGAGGCAGAGAATTCTGGACGTGCGTCTTTGTTCAACAGCCTGCATACGTGTTTTCCGTTAAAGAGTTATGGGATAA